AATCGCTTTTCAAGTGAAAACCACTCGATTATAGAACATTGAGACTGCTGATTCTGAACTCAATGTCTATTGCTATCCGAAACCTCTTTTCGGATGGACTTCTGCGCGCGGATCTCTAGAAAACCAACAAACCTTTTAAATAAATTTCTTTGAAGATTATCACGTTGAGTACATCGCATTAACTCGGTTCGTAAGATCCTTTCGATATCTAATATGCTTTAACAGCGTGAGAATTTTATTTTCAGTGCAGTAATAATCTAAACTCTTCACCACACAGAGAGCTTCCGTTGACATACCCGCAGCGTCCTTGGTACATGTAAAATAAACGAACAGAGGTACTTCGATGTGCTCTGCACAATGATCATGTTCAAAGAACTTTATTTAAAGAGTTTGTTGGTTATCTAGAGATCCGCTCACAGAGATCCATCTGAAAAGAGGTTATGGATAGCAATAGACATTGAATTGAAAATTAGCATTCTCAATGTTCTCTAACCGAGTAGTTTTCACTTGAAAAGCGATTTGGAAATGAATACTGAAAGACCTTCGGGAAAATTATTCCAGTTAAAGTTTTAACTTTTTTAAAAGGGCACACGGCAAGAGAATATTTCTAAATCCGTAAAAGGTTTGTTTAGAACGAAATTGTTGCAGAATTGGTCGCGTGTAGGATATTTGATCAAGCAGCAGAAATGGAATTTCGAAGTGATATGAAAAAACATTTTACTCTTTTCAAAAAGTAAACAACAAATTATATATTTACTCATACTTCTTCTATCGATAGTTTTCCTTTTTATAGGTTATGTGACAAACGTGCAGCAGTCGTTATTGATAAATGTTATAAAGAAGATGAAAAGTTGGCTCTTCGACTGTTGAAAGCACTTGATTTTGATGAGCTTTTAGTATCTTTTGATAGAAAAATTACGTTTAAGTCGACAATTTTTTAAGACGGTGAAACTTTGGCTTTTTTGGACTTTTCGAAATAATTGAATATGTCTGCAATGAAGCGACTTTAGAACTTGTGCTTTTCGCCAATGTTCATCGAAATGCTGCCTTTAAAAAAGCGCCCTATAGACAAAAAGATCTAGAATGATCGATTGAATTCCTTATGTTACGACTTAAAAGAAATAGCTCTTAAGTCAATTAATACCGGTGATTTGGAGAGCAAATAATCAGACATGTTGTGACGAACTGCAAATACCGCCCATAAAAATAGTTCTCAAATAAAACCGCCGGGTATGGATTTCTAAAACAATCAGAACTTTAAATACCAAGAATCATTATTTTAGCTTAACAAACAACTATTTCTATCCTTACTTTATCTTTACCAGGGACATACATGTCATAATAATTCGATTTTAAGGGCTCCTCTATCTTACCACATGGGATACGTTTAGTCTTACCTCTCTAAAATAGGTTGAAAACATTGAGTTTGTCGTATTTGTTTTTCACAAACGAAAAGTGTTACAATACATACATGATTAAGATAAAATTCATTCATATCGTCCATATCAATTATTCCCTTTAAGTTTTCGAAATTTGCACCATATTCAACAAATAAATCAGCAAAACGAACAGAATCAAAACGTATTGCGTCATATAATGCAATATCTAATTCATCATCCTAAAAGAATTAACTAGAAAACTGATTTTATTAGTATTGCTATAATGGTAATATCATAATGGTACAGAATGCAAGAGGAAACAATGAATGTGGGGTCTTACGAATTCGACGAGATTTCTAAAGCGGTCACTCTTGGCTAATTACTATAAGTATAGTAATGTGCAAAGAGTCTGGCGCTCGTAGTTATGATCGGTTATCATCGATACTGAAGAGAAAATGACTGGATTCGTTTAAATTATCACTCACTTTTTTGTCAGTTACTGAACTCCGCTCAGATCAGTTAAAATGTTTTCTGTTCGCCATTCATGATACTGAACTTTGCTTTTCAGCATCACAATGCACGATGACGACTTTCCTTTAAAGTGAGCATCATTGTTTTTCTAATATTACTCGTTAGTCAGATTATGTTATCGTGTAGTGATGATTAAATGTACCTACTTAAACACTTATCTTTCCACTTTCCGTTGTGTTGATAGTACGTCTAAAATACTGACTCTAAGATTCTCCTGTATTGTGTGGAGTGGTTAAGGCTTGTCCAACCCAGGAAGAGTGAACCCTGGCAGACCTTGTTAGTTCAATAACAAGTTCGCATAGATTAGATTCGTGCGATACAATGAAACATTCGAGTGCGTAAACGGGATAATTTCCCCCTACCAACAAGTGTGAACGCGTTAGAAGAACCAAAACCCCCAGTAGTCACCGAAAGTGTTTTATGCTTTAACTCGGAATCTAGTTTCGAATGTGTCTGATCGTATTATTTTGTTAAAAATCAGCAAAACAAAGGCTTCGGAGAGCTTACACTGTTTTAAAGAAATTTTTGGGGGCCTACGGATATGAGGTCGTATGATAATATCCTAAGGCATTAAAAAAAGGTTTTTAATGCATCAAACGCAAACAGAATTATGAACGTTCGTATATATTAAAAAAAATGTCGCCGTTAGTGAACCGGTCTGTATACCTAAACGTCTGAAACAACGCTTCTATGAATCATTAAAGGCTCTAAGAAGCCGAGCGTTGAAAATAAATTTCCAAATTTAGGCCGTAGTGCATACGACGTATTGAATTTTCACAAAAATTAGACTTGTAGGTTTAAGATGTTGTTCTGATAATCTAGTGTGCTAAAGTCAGAATGCTGCCTCTCTGTTCTACATTTCTCCGCTACCATTACTCAAAGATGGAATTACAATTTTAATCCTAGTAACGCCTGCCACTCATACAATAAATTCGAATTCGTTAAGAGATAGAATGGCGCTCGAACGCCTTTTTTCAACGCCTAAAAAGCGTTAGAGTCTCAGAATCGTATTGAATACGTTGCAACGCTTTAAAAGTTTACATATATTATAGGCATTAACAAAAATAATACGTTCAAACACTTTCAGTTGACACGAATAACTCAATACAACGTGTTCAAAATACTGAACCGTGTAAAGCCTTATAATGTGTCAAAAGAAGAATTTCCAACTTTAAAAAACGAGAAAAATATTTTAATATATATGAAAGATACAGCAAGTTCAAATTATATAAATTTCAACCCTGCGCTCTTTTCATTTCTTTTTTTGCGGAGAAAAAAACGTCCTTTTCATTACCTTTTCAACATTTAATCTAAATCTTATCCTAAGAGTGACGTACAGTGAACTATTTTAGAATATAACTGAGTTTTCTTTGTAATAAAGGTTGTCAGGAGAGATTGTTTGAGTTCTTTATGCATTCTTAGCTTTCAAGAAGTAGGTCGTTCCAGCTCGATAAAAAATTTAAAAGGCGTGTGTGTTACTTAATTTCCCAAACCTCAAACATCCTATTCTTCTTTTACAATTAAGCGCTTATTGAAAAAGCATGTTTGAATGCCTAGATAATTGAGAAGTAGTCTCCTAGGCCGTAACGTTTAGGTATGCAACAGTTACGGTTAACTGTAACTATAAAAACTGGCACAGTTAAGAGAGACTTCGCCAGTCGATGTAGTATCTTACCAAAGATCGATCACGAGTGAAAAATTGATATATACTTTTTATTTCATATTCGGATTCTACTATCGAAACTGGGGTCATGAAAAATAAAAAAAAACTTTCTGACTTATTCTGGCTGAGTTATAGAATTTACAAATGAGCACCATCGTCGATTTGCGAAAAGTAGCCATCTCTGAGCTCTCTCAAACTAAGCGCAAAAACTCTGTTTCTTAAAAGTGGTCGAAAAGTTCCAAGACCTAAAAACAAGATGGCCGACTAACCGCGAGTTTTCAGTTTTTTGAGATTTTAGTCATCAAAACTTCACTTAAAAGCAAAAGTAAGGTGATATTTGGAATCAGTGTCAAAAACTGCATCAGATGATGTGCTTTTCAAATCTTTTAGGGAGATGAAAAATTTTGTCAAAATTTGCTCGGAAGCCGAACATAAAAAATCGAAAAAATGTCGAAATTTTTCATTTCTCTGAAAGATTTGAAAGGCACATCATCTGCTGCAGTTTTTGACACTGATTCCAAATATCACC